CCGAGATGAATGAGGAGGGGTGTCAGAGAGGCAGCTCCCCTCCGCGGGGTGGGGGTGGGGGCTCGGAGAGGGGAGACACAGATCCTGGAGAGGTTTGCAAGAGAGAAGATGCGCCCAGAGGAGACTGAGCAGGAGAGACAGGAGAAGGCTTAGGATGAGAGCGAGGAAAAGAAAGCCACGCGAGTACGGGCCGCGACGTGGGCGCTCTCAGAGCCTGGGAGCTGGAAAGGCAAACATAAAATAAAGGCGAGGGAGGGCGCAGTGGAGTGAACCAGAGAGCGCTCCAAAGGAAAAGTACGCAACAGAACGAATGAGGAAAACGAATGACCTAGAAATCGAATACGCAGAAAGTGCGAGCCAGAGAGAAAAACAAAGACAGCCAGGGGAGCGAAGTCAAGTGGGGAAAAGGCCGATCCCAGAGAGGTAAAGAAAAATAAAACCACTCGGCTCTATCCAAGGCCAGGTTTTCGAGCCAGGCCATTATTCTGGGCGCTGCCAAGCAAGAGCTCCCTCGGAGACGGAGACGCGGTGCCACGGGCCGAGTTCCGGAGATGCAGAGCGAGTGGGATGAGCTCAGCGCGCAGCGGCCGGCCTCACGCCTCCTCCGGGGGGTCGCCCGGTTCGCTCCTAGGGGGCGCCTGGGCCGGGCCCCGGGACCAGCCCCACCCTTCATGGCCCCTGTTTGCCGTTGCCACTCGGGCTGTCGAGGTCTCCCGTGCCTAAAACGATTGTGGTAAAGTTTTCCCCCAAAGTTTGCCAGTCGCTTCTCCGGATCCAGAGAAAAGCCTCCGAGGCCCTGGCGGCTTGGAGGGAGCGGTAGCACGATCCGGGGCGGCGCTGGAGGTCCCTGGCCCACGCCTCCTGGGATGCTCAGAGTCCAGATCCCCGGCCAAATAGGAATCGCTCCCGGTGAGGACGGCAGGCTACGACCGGAGTGTTTGCGAGCTGCTGTCAGCGAAGTGAGGAAGAGAGAGAGAAAGAGAGAGAGAGAGAGAGAAAGGAAAAAATATTCTCAGCTCAATTTAAGTCTCATGGAAAGGGCTTACAACTGTAATTAAATCATTAAATTCTTGTCTACGCTTCACAGAGCGGAGAGAAATTAACTTCCCACCAACCTCATTTTCTATTTGAACATGAAATAATGATTTTCTGCCCGTCTAATTACAAAGCCAACATCTGATCAAGCCAGCATCCAGAGGGGATTATCGCATGCACGAGTATTAGACCTCATTACCAGCTTGAGTGCAAAATTATTACATCTTGTAATTGGATGGTGAGATTTATATACAGATCGGCCCGGTTTCTGTAAGATTGTAATTACAAGCTTCGTTGGTTAGCTACTTATCAGAACTTTGCAGGAAAACAAAACAAATGACTGAGGAAAACGAGCATTTCATTAACCTGTAACCCGAGCGCGGGGGGGGGAGGGAGCGGTGGGAGCGCGCGCAGTGGCGTCTGCAGGAAGCGAAGGGATAGCCAGCGGCACCGCGGCCCCGGGACTGTGGGCCTGCGCGGAAGAACCCAGACCTGCCTCCGCGGGATGACCCAGGGCTGCAGCGGCTCCCCCGACGACAAGGACGCGCTCACACCTTGGGGTTGGCAGGAGAAGGGGTTCTAAGGCGGCCAGGTGGCTCGGAGTTGGTGAGCAGTGCGCGGTGCAGCCACCGAGCTCGGCGGGCCCCGCAGGCCCTGGGCACACGTCGGGTAGCGGCTGTGGGGGCGCGTCGGCGCGCGCGGTGGCGTGTGCTTCGCGTGCGCTAACGGGCATCCTTTCCGTCCGTTTCCCGCGACCTGGGCCACGCTGAAGGTAGTGCCCGGCAGCTAGTTGTCCGACGCGCTTCGTGCGCCGGGAATGTCGGAAAAAGACAACATGCTGAGAAGCTACAATGTTTGGCGCGTTCCTGCGCGCCTGCCTTTTCCAAACCAAATTTCCCGTGCACCTGCTTTTCCTGGAGGTGCTAATGTTTCACTCTGACCTAATCTCCTGGATTACATATCCCCGCAAAGGTTCAGCTGCCCAGCAACTCGCCCATTCAGTTTTGAGCCGGACTTCACAGCTCGGGTGGAGTCGGGGGACCCTAGCGCCACGTCGAGGCGTGGCTGCCTGGGACACAGAGTCCCGAGGTGGGGGTCAAGCTAATCTCCAGGCCCGGCCAGGGCCGTTAACCCGTTGGAACGGAAGGCAGCCTGGAGGCCACTTCTGCTTGGGGCCTCGGGTGCCAGGAGGGATCTAATTAAGCCAGACATTTCGGTCGGCGTCTGGATCTGCGGCTTCACCCTCAGAGCCACGAACTCCCCTCCCTGGGCCGGCGAGACGGGTTCCTGACCCCTTGAACCCTCGCGGGTTCTCCTTGCTGCTGTCCACAGGTAGATGCGGCCAGGTTGATACCCAGCTAACACGGAAGCAGCATCCACGAAGTTCGGTGTGTGTGTGTGTGTGTGCGCTTTTTTTTTCCTTCTAGAACAGCTGAATTAAATATGGGTGTTCCTGCCTTCCGCAGCATGCACTGTTGCTCCCCACCCCTCCGCCTGGTGCCACCACTTGGTGCCAACTCCAGGACTTGTCAAGGCTCTAAGTCTTCATCTAGAAAACATTTCGGGATTCATGACGTTCCATTTCGCACCTCCATGATTGTTCGCAAGGAAGTGAACCCAACATCCCCTCTCGGATGCTCTTTGAAAGGTTTAACCGGAAACGAAATCAGGCGCTGTGGATATTTTTCAAGGCCATAGCAGCCCCTGACCTCTGGTGTGAGGTTTCAGCGAGGGCCAGCTCCCGGGACCGGGCAGGGGCGCACCCGGCGGCCGAGGGCGGACTGGGGAAGCAGCTCAGACGCGAATAGGGAAGTCTCGGATTCTTCGCCACACACCCCACCCTCCACCCCCCTTTTCGCCGCCAACCTAAACTTTCTGGTCCCCAAACCTTTCTTCACTTTTCTTCCCAGTTCTCACAGAGTGCACACCTATATGGGTGCCAGCGGCCTCGTGCCAAGGCAGGCAAGAGGCGGGTGCAGGGGGTGGGGTCAAAACACGGTGTCCAAGCCTGGGACCCAAGAATCTTTTCTATTCCCCGGACTGCGCGTCCCCGAAGCTGCTGTAGTGACCAGTGACACGCGGGGCCGGAACCCACCGCGTCCTGCACTGCGGTGGAATTTGCATTCGATTCCTGGATGCATCCGTGCCAGGAGGCCCCTTTCCGCTCCCGAGACGCGTTCTTTTCTCAGCGGATCGTCCCCGGAGCGCACCCCGCCGCGGGCCTGGCCCGCGCGGTGCGGCCTAAAGTGCTTAGCCCGAAGCCGCCGTGGGGATCCTGGGAGCGCCACTGCGGCGCTGGGCTGCCCGCCCTCCTCCGCGAAGGTGGGCGCTCGGAGACCCGGAGTCCAGTTTTGATTTAGGAAATCTCCCACCGTTAACACTAAAAAAAAAAAAAGCTAATCCTCTAACTGCCCCTTCCCCGCCGGCCACTGGAGAGTTCTTGTGGGAAAGAGGTGGCCAGGAGCCAGGAAAAGGGTAACAAAACGAAGGGTGTCTACAGAGCGAAAACACCCATACAGAAACTTGTCCACGCGCTCTCAGAAAGTTCTGGGGCCTCCCTAGGCCACACCCATGAAGGGCTACCTTTGGGGCTTCAATCCAGCCCACCTCGGTACTGGTGCATCTCCAGTGATTAATTCCAGGGTTTGGGCTCCCAGAGTAGGGGTGCGCCGCACCCGCCGAGGGAGGCAGCGAGGCCACCTCTAAAGTCACGATCAGGATTCCATTCCCTTCTCCCCGTCCAGCCTGCGCCAACTCTCTCTCTCTCTCTCTCTCTCTCTCTCTCTCTCTCTCCTCCCCCCCCCCCTCTGAGCCAACTGTGGCGGCGAGTCTAGAGTTTCAAGCGAAGAAACGGGGCTCCCGGTACCCCGAAGAAGCCTGTCTTAGCCAAGGGTTCTGACCCTACACAGGCCCCGGCCCAGTACCCAGGGGCGGCGGGGAGGGGCGACCTGACCCCACACTCACCCGCCGGGCCGCGCCTCCCGCTCCCCCTGCCGGCGCTGGCAGCAGAGGGGCGGGAAGGGCCGGGGAGCGCCCAGGCTCCCGCCCGCCCCCAGCCCCGCTCCGCCCCGCGCGTCCTCGCGGGGGTGGGCGGCCTCGGCCGCCAGGCGCCCTGGCGATTGGCGACTCGGGGTGGAGACGCGAAGAAAAGTCGAATAAGAGGGCGCGACGTCAGACCTGAGATTTGGGGAAGGGCGAGGGAGGGAGCGGCAGGGCGGAGACGGACACCCGGACAAGGATTCGGGGACACACACACACACACACACACACTACGTAGCACCCTAAGTGTCCCCCAACTTCGGGTCTCCTTTGGCCTAGTGCACAGAGGCTTGGGGAGGCTTAGGGTGGGCGTCTCGTGTGAGAAAAGAGATTTTAAACGATGGGAGAGAGGAACACGTGAAAAGGACAGCGAGGGGAGCGCCTGCGATCGTGGGGCAAGGAGAAGGGTGTGAGGGAAAGGGAAAGAAGAGTTTGCTTAGAGTTCGGGAGAGCGAAAAGAGCCCGGAGGAGCGGAAGCGGGGGGTGGTGGGGGGGGGGGAGAGAAGAGTGCTAGGAGGGGAGGGGAGGGGAGGGGAGAGGAAGGGCGCAAAGGGGGGGGGTGAAAACTAGAGGAGGGCGAAGGAAGCGAGGCGCGTCGCTCCTGGGGAGAGGAGGGCAGTGCGGAGCCGGGCGCGGGCAGAGGCGGCTCGGGCGGCCGAGAGGAGGGAGCGCGGCGCAAGAGGAGGGGCTTGCGGCCCCGTAGAAATGTCAATCAGAGCCCGGAGCCCCGGGAATCTCCGCCAATCTGTTCGGACCTGACCTGGCTCCTCGCCGCCGCCGAGCAGATCGATAGGCGAACGCGGAGCGCAACGCAGCGCGGCCCCAGCCCGGCCCAGCCCCCGATGCGCGCCGGAGCCCGCGGGCGGCACTGAGCAGGGCGGCCCCGGAGGCCGGGCCCCCTCTCTGTCCGTGCCCCGCGGGCCACCATGTCCTTCCCTCAGCTCGGATACCAGTACATCCGCCCGCTCTACCCGCCCGAGCGCCCGGGAGCTGCTGCTGCCGCGGCCGGCGGAGGCAGTGGTGGTGGCGGTGGCGGCGGCGGAGGCGGCGCGGGGGCCCGTGGTGGTCCGAGCGCCGGAGCCTCAGAACTGGCCGCCTCCGGTTCCCTCTCCAATGTGCTCTCGTCCGTGTATGGAGCGCCCTACGCCGCGGCCGCTGCGGCTGCCGCCGCCGCTCAAAGCTACGGTGCCTTCCTGCCCTACGCTACGGAGCTGCCCATCTTCCCGCAACTGGTAAGAGCCCAGGGAGCCAGGGAAGGCGGGTTGGAGCTGGGGCGCCGGGCAAGCCGAGTGCGCGGGAGTGGACTGGTCGGGGTCGGCGCCGGAGGGTGGAGGTGACGCTGCCGGTTGGGCTCACCGCATCGCCTCGGCGCGCGTCCCTTTTCCTCTCCGTGTGCGTACAGGGCGCGCAGTACGAGCTGAAGGACAGTCCCGGGGTGCAACACCCGGCCGCAGCCGCCGCGTTTCCGCACTCGCACCCCGCCTTCTACCCGTACGGCCAGTACCAGTTCGGGGACCCGTCCCGTCCCAAGAACGCCACCCGAGAGAGCACCAGCACGCTCAAGGCCTGGCTCAACGAGCACCGCAAGAACCCCTACCCCACCAAGGGCGAGAAGATCATGCTGGCCATCATCACCAAGATGACCCTCACCCAGGTGTCCACCTGGTTCGCCAACGCGCGCCGGCGCCTCAAGAAGGAGAATAAGATGACGTGGGCGCCCCGCAGTCGCACGGACGAGGAGGGCAACGCGTACGGGAGCGAGCGCGAAGAGGAGGACGAGGAGGAGGATGAGGAAGACAGCAAACGCGAGCTGGAGCTGGAGGAGGAGGAGCTCGGGGGGGAGGAGGAGGACACGGGGGGCGAGGGCCTGGCGGAGGACGACGAAGACGAGGAGATCGACTTGGAGAACCTGGACGGCGCGTCTGCCGGGCCTGAGTTGGCCCTGGCTGGGGCGGCGCGCAGGGACGGCGATCTCGGCCTGGGACCCATTTCGGATTCCAAAAACAGCGACTCCGAAGACGGCTCCGAGAGTCTGGAGGACCGGCCCCTACCGGTTCTGAGTCTGGCCCCAGCGCCGCCGCTGGTGGCCGCGGCTCCGCCGTCCCCGCCCTTGCCCCACTCCGGCCTGGACTCCTGCGCTCCGGCTCCGGCGCCTGCCTCCGCCCTGCAGAAGCCCAAGATCTGGTCCCTGGCCGAGACCGCCACAAGTCCGGACAACCCGCGCCGCTCGCCTCCCGGCGCTGGAGGTTCTCCCCCTGGCGCAGCCGTCGCACCCCCGGCCCTGCAGCTCTCCCCGGCGGCCGCTGCGGCGGCGGCTCACAGACTTGTCTCGGCGCCGCTGGGCAAATTTCCTGCTTGGACCAACCGACCGTTCCCGGGTCCGCCGCCCGGTCCACGCCCGCACCCGCTCTCCCTGCTCGGTTCGGGTCCTCCGCACCTGCTGGGACTTCCAGGAGCCGCGGGCCACCCGGCCGCCGCCGCGGCTTTCGCTCGACCCACGGAACCCGAAGGCGGAACAGGTGACTGCTGAGCTTGGGGCGCGAAGGAGGGTGCGGGCTGAGGGGTGGAGAGGGCTGCGACCTGGACCCCGGGAGCGGCGAGCCTGCAGCTCTTGGCAGTGTCCTGATGCTGGAACCGGGCATTCTAAAGGGTCTCTTTTTCCTCTCCCCTCATCCCGCCTCCCCGGCAGATCGCTGTAGTGCCTTGGAAGTGGAGAAGAAGTTACTCAAGACAGCTTTCCAGCCCGTGCCCAGGCGGTAAGAGGCCCCCGCGTTGGCAGGGGAGGGGAGGGTCGCGGATCCACACTTGGCCTACTGCCCCCTCCCCAAGAGGTGCGCGGATGGGACACAGCTCACTCCTCGGTTCCCCCAGTGGACCAGAGACTATCGCCCCAGCCTCAGGCCAGGCTCCCCAGGGCAGGAACCTGGTGCAGCCAGCAGGCCCCTGGATCAGAGAGGGGTGCCCATCTCTCTCCATCCCAGGACCTACTATCTGGCACTCACCTTAGATTCAACCCCAGCAACTCCTCCAACCTTCCTCTGAGCCCAATTTTTCTGGAGGCCGCCTCCCAGTCCGCAGTCCCAGACTAAGGTGGGGGAATGGGGGCGCTGTGAGTCCTGGGCAACCTCTACACCCCGAAATCTCACCTTCTTTGCACCCCACCACCTCTGTCTTGCAGGCCTCAGAACCACTTGGATGCTGCTCTGGTTTTATCAGCTCTCTCCTCCTCCTAGTTTTTTTTTTTTTTTTAAGAAATTAAAATCGGTGTAATAATTGTAAAAAAAAATCGTTCTGTATAGTTACAACTTGTAAGCATGTCCGTGTATTAATTCCTTTTAAAAAAAAAGGAAAAGAGAAAAAGAAAGAAAGAACTAAACAAAAGGAAACAAAAATGAAATAAAGCCAGTGGCCTGGAGTCCGCCCCACGTCGCTTCTGTCCACCTTAGCTGCGGTTGTGCGCTTTGTCTGTTCCGTTGATTTTGGGGGGTGGGGGAGTGAAGTTTCCGTGAGAATTAAGCGTGTCTGACTTGTTTTGTATATACGAAAAAAATGTACATATGTGTGAACCAAATTGTACAAGAAAGTATCTATTTTTGGCTAAATAAATGAGCTGTTGCCACTTTGACTATAACCCGCCTCTCTGCCCCCGGACGAATCTTTCATGGGTAAGGGGGATTGTGTTTTTATTTATTTGTTTATTTATTTAGTTATTTATTTATTATATTTATCTCCCATCCTCCCCCCCCCCCCCCGGTTACCTGATGGATCTCTCTCGAATCAGCCGAAAGGGCTGAGCAGTGCACCAGGACCGTGTGTCCCGGGAACAGCAATGACGCAGGAGGCGCGCAAGCCGCAGGCAGGGGCGTGCGGAGGAGAGGCGTGCAGAGGACTACCCCGGGGCGCCCGAGTGGACGGGCAGAGGACGCAGGTGGGGCACCGCAAGAGGAGGCGGGCTCCGAGCCACTGGTGCCTGGAGCTGACCACGAGGGTCCTGAGACCACAGAAAGGACTTGGGGCAGAGGAGCTGGGTCCGGAGGGTCTCATTGCCCCCACGCTGCCGTCTCCAGTTTTGGATAGGCACCATCGAGGTCTTCCCAGTCTTGGGCATTAACAGAGGCCGTGCTTCCAAACACATCACAGCCTCCACACTCCTCACAGACGCGTGGGTGTGGGGAGTGGGGAGCCTGAGGCACATCCCGTGGCTGCTGCGTGACTATGTCCAATAGGGAGCAGGAGGGCTCGAGTCCTGGCGTCTCCACGGGTCCTGGCATCCCGGTACGTTTTTCCTCTGGCTCCGCCGAAAAGGGTCCCCCGTCAGGTACGGCCGCGGGCGGGGTTCAGGTCGAATCCAGGCCTCTGCCCCTTCCCAGCCGGGATTCCAGCGGGGCCGGACCAGGACGGGGTGGGCGCACCAGGGGAGGGAGCCGGGAAATTTGGGGCTGGAGCTCCCTCTACAGGACAAAGGGGACTCTGGGCTGCGCCTGGCAGCCTCCGCAGCCCGCCGGACCAAAGGCGCTTCTCCCACCCCTCCCCACCCACTGGTACAACCACACGCGCCTCTCCTTCCCTCTTTTAGGCCGCGGGTCCTAACTTGGACTAGAAGAAACTGTAGGGAACGCCTGGGAGATAGACGCGTGTGTGCACTGTGTGTGTTAAAGGAAAGGTATCTTTGATGCACCTTTCAGTTTATAGAGTGGACAGGTGTCAGGCCTGTGCTCCCCACCCCTACCCCCCAAAGCAGAGCGTTGGCAACCTCGAGGGTTCCCCGCGAAACTAGGGAAGGGCCCTCACCCTGGAACAAGGCACAGCGGACAAAGCCCACCAGCAGACAAGGCACAGCTCGAAGAGCGGACACCTGCGAGACTGGGGCAGTAGGGGCGCAGAGTTGGGCAAGGATGGGCCGTACCTGACAGGTGCAGATGCCAACGCAGGGCACTGGCCCGGGCGTTGCGCCCCAGTGGCGACTCACCGAGGGCTCACCGAGGATGGGGTGAAGGCAGGCGGATGCACAGGGCAAAGAGGTTCCGCAGCCAAGGCCGCTTCCCTGATCCCTGCTTTTCTCCCACCCACCCACCCCTGACTTGCCCTGCTTCACCCCAGCCATTAATGATGCTTTCGGGCTTTGGGCTCCTTCCCTGGTGCCTGAACCTAAGGTTCTATTCACTCTGCACACACCTTCCCCCAGACATGGGTGATAGGAGAACTCTGCCTAGGCATTGAACCTGAGGCCAGTCCTCCCTGGCCCTGGACAGAGGCCCCTGCAATAGTCTTTACAAGGAAGTCACTCTTGCCGCCGCTCCCCTCTAGTCCTGCAGAGCTTACTTGCAGCATCCACTCAGCTTCCTGCTTGCCTGCTGCAGTAGCCTGGGCAGATGACTTCTGTATGTCCCTATTGGCTCATCTGCAAAATCGGAGTGATGCCACTTCCTGGGAGGCTGGTTGCCAGTCTCAAAGACACTAAGCAGATTGGCCCTGACTCCTGAGGCAGATGGGGGCATACAGCAATGGCACAGTCCACCCCACCTGGGCCCACCCATCACAAAAGCAAGATGTCTTCCTTCAGCACCCTGCTCAAACCAGGGAGAAAAGGAATTTGGCAGACTGGACCCAGCAGGGGCAGGAGACGGAGACACGGATAGGCTGGCAGAAGGCAGGCAACCCCGAGGGAAGAGGGCATAAGACATGTCAATACATGCCCTGAGTCTCTCGCCCTGAAGACCCTGGGGTTGCATCTGAGATGGTACCACATCTGCTGGAAAAGCAGAGTATGAGTGGGCACCTGCAGGGCTAGCTTCCAAGTGCAAGTACATGTATGTGTACTGTGTGTTCCCCAGTACATGTACAGATGTCTGTGTGTCTAGTATGTGTGTGTGTTCGTGTGTGCATCAAGTGCATGAGTGTGTGTGTGTCATGGCTGAGCCCACACAGCTCACGGCCCTTCAGCTGGCCCTGACTTTCCCCCCTGTAAGCCAGTTCCAATAGAATCAAGAAGGATCCCCTGACCAGGAAAGAGGGGACAGCTCCATTCTGCAGCTCTTTTGATGTCACCAGAAAGCAAGCGCTCCTTTCTACCCCCTGCAGGCTCCACCTTATTTTCCTCCTCCTAGAGACCCCAGGAACCAGAACCACTTCCATCCCTAACTCCAGAAGGGAAGCTAGAAGGGGAGGGGAGGGACGAATGAGGAGCTCAGCCCTGGTCCTGATTAAACTTCAATTAGAAATAAAACGTGTCGATCACTCTGCCTGGAAGGGACTCCTGCTGTCGGGGCTGGTTATGCAAAGTACATGGAGGGGTGTGTGGCGATAATCAATGGGGTCACAGCCAAGCGTGTGCAACGCAGCTGGAGGAGGGAGCCAGAGGACGATAAAATTATCTCCCCGACGTACACCTCTGGGACCAGCACAGGAAAGGTTTCCAATTGAATTTCTTTTTCTGAGAGGAGGTGAGCTCCAGACCAAGGCAACACAGAAGGGCCAGAGTGAGATAGTAGAATAGCCACTCACCTGCCCCAGTGAGGCGTGAGTGCAAGGTGGGACCCGGCTTCCTCCTAAGCTGATGATCTCCAAGATTCCGCTGTCCTGGGCTTGGGCTTGCCTGGGGTGTAGATGGATGCCAGGCCCCCCTCTGGGAGTTTATGCCAAGGCTTCACTTGAAGCTTAATTATTCTGTTCCTTCTGGAAATATCCTTTGCAGCTGAAAGTCCTGTTTGCCTGCGTCCCCTCCCCGTCCCCTCCCGTGGAGTGCCAACAGGCAGCTGAAGGTAGATGCAAGTAGTGTCTGTGGTTAGGAGTGACCCCAACGTTGCGTGGGGGAGTCTCATCCCCGCTCTAAGGCCCTGCCTTGGGCTTCTGCGAACATGGAGCAGGTAGTGAGATGAACTGAACCAGAAGTTCTTACAAATGCAACAGTCTAGAATGAGACGTAAGATAATAATAATAATAAATGAGGTCAAGGGTTCTCCAACCTCTCCAGAGACTGCCTCATGGCTCTCCTTGGCCACTGTGGTGAGACCTGGGCACACAGCTTGTTCACACCAACAATCTCTATTCCTTGCCATCTGCTGAATCACTGTGGCTATTGGGTGGATGGGGAAAAAACCACCAGCAAACTGCTGCTGCCTGGGGTTTCAGACCCAGCTGGACGTGTCTGTGCAGCAGAGCAGTGGTCCTCAGCCAGAAGCATCTTCTAGCTAGAGACTAAACTAGGAGTGGTACTGGCATCTGGTGGGCAGAGGACAGAGGAGGCACCAAAGGGCTGTACCCAAGGCCAAGGGAAATGTCCGACCCATGAACCCCTTTGAACTTGTCTGATCTGAGACGTTCCACACGGCTGGGCCTGACCTTGGTGGGAGATTTCTCCTAGCCAGAGCGTTGCAAGCACTGCGGAAGAGACACTAGGGAACGGGGGCATGCTGGGGAGACATGGTAGCCCCAGCAAGGGTTTTAACCCAGAACTCACAGCTTCATGGAGAGAAACATTGAAACAAGGTGCTCAGTGGATCATTCTTGCTTTCAAAAGTCTGGGCCCAGGAAGGGGTGAGAGAGGGCAGGCAGGAGACAGCCCGGCTGGGAAGAAGCAAGAGTGGGTTTTGATTTAGCTTGATTCCGTGAGTGTGGCTGGAGGCAGACCCTTCCAGTGTGATGAGGAAGTTAGGGTTCTCTGTGGGGGGCAGGAAAAGCGAATGCACATTGTCATGTCAACCCAGTTACCTGGTTCTTTAACCTGGGAGTGGAGTGTGTGTGTGTGTGTGTGTGTGTGTGTGTGTGTGTGTGTGTGTGTGCACGCGCAGGGGCTGCAGCAGGAAGCAGGAGGGAGGCACAGAAGCAGGGTAAGGTCTCACTCCAGGGCAGGAGGGGAGGGCGAGGACACGGCCCAGACCGGGGAGGCAGTGATTGCTCGGCTTTGGCGCTGGGCCGCCAGGCCTGCGTTCTCTCACTGAGCCAGGCTGCTAACAAGTGGGCCCGCGGCCCTCCCGGCCTTTAGAGTGCACTCATCTGCGAGATTGTGCCTTTCTCAGCCGCGCAGATTTATTTTGCCAAAGTTACAGGGCAATTATGGAAATGCGCCCTTTGAAGCCAGGCTGATTTCTCTTTATTTTCTTCTTCCTGACAAAGCAGAGCTTCCCTGCCTCTGGTGGCTCTGCCTTCTCTCTCTCTCTCTCTCTCTCTCTCTCTCTCTCTTTCTCTCGTCTCTGCCTTTTCCTTTTTTCCCTTTCTTTTCCCTGATCATTATGAAATAATGGGAGTT